GATAAAAGTTAAAGTAGACAAAAAGGTTCAATCTATTTTAACCTTATCCTCTGTTCTTCATGTTCCGCATAATTGCCATTATTATCTGCAAGTAAAGCCACAAAAACACTAAACTGGTCTGTGCCATCCTTTCTGGATCATTGCTGGTTAGCTCTGAGGAGAGAACTGTGTTATTTTATTCACTCTTCACAAAAAAAAAAAAATAATAATAATAATAATAATAAAAATAAGAAAAATAAGAAAAAGAAAAAGAAAAAACGCCATGATGTCTAAGGCCAAGTCACTAAGGCTGTTAGTGACAAAGAAGAGGAAATTTAACTACTATAATAAAAGTTCAGTCATCTGAATTTTGTTTCTGTGAAATTTTTACACCCCAAAGTTGCTTCTAGCATTGAAGCCTCTAAATTTCATTGTCAAGTTTGTGAGCTATCCAGGCGTCATCGTACAACTTTTCCAATCAAAATCAAAAAAATCTAATTTCCTTTTACAGTAACTCACATTGATACATAGGGTCTTCCCATGTCATTTCTTACCCTGATTTTAGGTGGTTTAAAAGTTTTATCATGCTTGTACTTGTATTACCTAAATCTAGCTTCTAAAAAACAAATATCAAGTTACCTCTATATTCAAATCCTTCAATTCCATGATACAAAGTCAATTCAACAGAAAGGTTTAAGTTTTTTGGTCTGACCGTGGAACTGAACTTCCAGCAAAGTAACGGGCAATGTTATCTCCCGAAAATGGTATTGTTCACCATTCTTCATGTATTGGCACATCCCAAATAAATTCAATGGCTGAGAGGGAAAATGACAATTGTTAGAGGTAGTTGGAGCTCCAATGTTCAATCAAAATGTCCCTAAATAATATTTTTAAGTGATGAACTCCTATGTGATGCATATTTATTCAATCAAGTGCATCCTCTAAATTTCAGAAAATCAATTCAGCTTCTACAAAACTTGTCCCTAATCTTGATCTTTTTGGTTGACTTGCCCTTAAAAAATTAGGCCTGTTACAGTATCCATCCTTCTCGAAGAGTTCAGAATAGATCTGGGGGCTCTTAGATGTACTTTTCTGTACTCCTACAGAAAAGGTCTCTATAGCTGTAGATGTTATGTGGGCATTTGCAAAAATGTCCAATTTTACATGTGTCAATTCAAAAACATCCACTTTGGTAATCTTTGCAAAAATGGCCAAATTTGATACCAAATTCTCTATTTTACCCTAAAAGAATAAATAATTTCATATTGCACATGTCAAATCACAATTAATGTTAGACACAAAAATGTCGAGAACAATATTTAAAGTGTAAAGAAATGTCATGTTCAGAATGAAATGTCATTTTAGACATTTAATATGTCGAGAACAACGTTTGAAATGTCGAGAACATTTAATATTGTGATTTGACATGTGTACTTTTGAAATATAAACGGATTCAAATATTGATAACGATATTTGAGATGTCGAGAACATCATTTAATGTAACTTCTCATGGAAACTACTTAGGGATACTCTCGCCCAAATAATTGCAGAAATGGACATTGAAAATTTTGGGACATTTTTGCAAATGACTGTCAAAATGGACATTTTTTGTAATTTCCTCTTTTGAAAATAATCATATTAACCTAGGATTGATCTGAACTATCTAGCGACTGCCCCTAAACCTATGACGATTTTGATTCTATACCTAAACCTGAACCATTGGCTCGTGCACAACTTGTTGCCATATCCCATTTTGCACCAGAAGTGCCTGAACAAGCATGTATTTTGTACTCCTACTGGCTACTCGTGTCCCCTTTTTAGACCAGCCTAGAAACCAAATAAGCACTAAACCAGGTATGAGGAGGCACTTAAGAACATATTGTCCAGGAGACAAGTTAATAGCCAGTTGGTGCACTCGAGACAAAATGTGATAATAAACCACATATCTTCTCCCCAGTAACTCTGACCGAGAAACAAGTATTTTTAGTGATCCTCCTAATTTCTTGTTCGATACCAATCTTGACAAACCCATTGCAAGTAGGAAAGTTGTTGGAAACTGGAGCAGATACCCGCTTTCAAATCTCAAGTTCCATCATCATCTAATCCCCACTGGAAAGAATTTACCTTTGCTGGCCCTATACTATCAGTCTGTTCTGAGTAATGAACAAGAGGCTTTAAAAGATTCAAGGTAGGACGCCATGTTTGAAGAGATGAGGAGCACTTTACAAGAATGAAAACTGGAAGATTGTTACAAAGAGAGAAAAACTAGTGAGTGGGTGTTCACCATTAAATACTGGGAAGATAGAATGATAGAAAGATACAAGGGGAAGTTAGTCAGTTACACTAAAACCTATGCTTTGACTGACAAGAAACTTTTGCTCCCACGGCTAAAGTAATTGCATTACCGTACTACTATCCCAAGATGTAAACCTGGACCAGCCTTTATATCAGTTGGATACAGAGAAAGCTTTCTTATATGGCTCGAGAAAGAATTCTGTTTGGATCTTCCACCTGGCCGTGATGATCACTCAGATAATAAGAAAGTTCATGCCCTAAAAAAGAAAGTGACTTAGATCTACAATTTATGATATTTCGTGTTTAAGATTTTAAAAAGGAAAAAATTGACAGCTAATTTCATTGAACTTTTAATAGATATTGTAAACATTTAGAATATTCTAATTTGTTAGAATAGCTCCCATAGAAAGTTTACAATGGAACCGGGTGATTGTTTACAAAAAATAAAAGCCTTACCAAGCATTGTACAAGGATGTGTTGCAGGAGTAATCCATTATGATTCTCTTTTCATCTAATCTTTCTAGGCCACAGGGTCTCCATTTCACCCGTGGACAACCTTTTCCATCACTAGTTTTAAGTATTATTTCCAAATTAAAACCAGCACATGAAAAATGGAAATGAGATATAGGAAGACAGAACCAATATGAACTCAACCTTACGAAACTGAACAAATATGCAGATTCAAATGAGTTTTTATATATACTTCTGTGCAATGAGGAGTTTAGTAGCCGATATCTTACTTGATATACACCAAAACAGTTGGCACAGGGTTAGCACACACTTTGCCCCACTCACTAGGTTTAATATCATAACTTATTGAATAACATAAAGATTTCTCCCTTAATACACCATAAACCAGTGTCTTCCGAAACATGGTGAAGTCTCTACTAAAGGAAACACAGCCGTCACACCAAGGGTAGTTTCAGAAAGATTAGGAGAATAAAATGAGATTCTGATCCACTGAGATATGGTTTTAGCAACAGGAGAAGTAGAGTGAGGAAAAATAGTTATTATTTTATGTGACATTAGTATGCTTGTGGGAAAAGCTTCACTATTGAAATTTTTTCTTCACATTCTGTCCTTAAAGAACACATGAATTGGCAGCAAACTCAGCAACAGCCAAAATTTCTGTTTAATTAACTATTTTGATTGGAAACGAGGAAGCATGGACACTCCCTCCTAGCAAGTGTGCGTGTTGAAAACGTTTGTCAAATGATTTTGTGATTTTAAATATCAAACTTAGAGCACATGACGAGGATATGCTAGGAAATGTCAAAGAGCATAGAAGGAAATTTTTAGGATCAAAATAGAATTTAAGAAATAAAAATGGATTAGATTTTAATATGACAAACTTTTAAGTTTGATGATCCGCAAAAATAGGAAAGGGATTTACAAAGTAGGAAAAAAAGAAATATGAAGCCTGTACCTATGCCCTCCCTAAAATATATTTTATCTACTATATTCCATCCCGAACCCTGCCCCATACTGGAAAAAGACCCATCGGCCATTACAATAAGAAATGAAAATGGGCAAGGACCAAAATGTTTTTTTCCACTGACCAAAGTACCAATTGTTTGCCCTCTTTGCAACTATATATGAACTCTATCTTTGCCAAAAATGTGCTCCCGAGGAATGATAATCGAATCAACCACATACTCAAACAAAAATCAAAATCTGGGGCATCTTCAACTATTGACCTCCAAATAATCTCACTAGTTATTTCATACTATTGCTTAATAATCGTGTTTACAATTTCTTTTTACTCTTTTACTAAATCAGAGAAGCAAAAGGAGCTAGTATCACCTTGACTCCAAGCTTAAATTGAGAGAAGCTGTTAGTTGAAAGCTGATTCTTCTTCACTCTCTACTCAATCCAATTATTCCTAAAAGCAAGTGAAGACATCAGTTTTATTGCTCGAGCTATAGTCTATAAACCTAAGTATTTTATCAGAATTATATATTGCTAAGTATTCTTATTTGCTCTAGTCATTTTGTTATTATGTACAGTACTAATATCAAGCAACAGTTAAGATTTTTTATCGAATCTTATGCAAGTTAGCAATTAATAAGTTGCAAATTTTCCCTGAAAGAATTGGCTGACACAAATCCTCTCGAGACTCTCACTTCAAATAACTCCTTGTGTTGCCCTCTGAAGTCTGAACCTAAGGTATCACATTTTACCACAGAATACTTAACCATGCAATCTAACCTCAGCCTGAAAGCAATGAGGTATTTTATAAGCAATTATTGCCAACAAGATTGGTGTCTTTGATTCTTCTTTCATTTTCGAATTAAATTTTTTTGAATAGTTTAACCTATTGAATCTAAATATGTGGATGAAATGAGCTAAAATTGAACTGCGCAGAGCAGCAGAGGGAAACAATAGAAAATCTAAACTTAATTACTTTAACAACATTGAAATGAAAGAGGAAAAAAGAAATCAAACGTATCAGAGATACAAAAAATGAGAGAAAAAAATAACAATTCATTGATTTAATTCTTTAGAAGACTAGGTTATGATCAATCATGAATTTCTCCAGCAAGAAAAATGGAAATCAATTTATATTTGCGTGTCATATTCTGAAAAAGAAAAACGGAAAACATTCACACACAAAATTCCCAATAAGCATTTTAGCGCCTATAAGTTTTTATCTTTAAATATTAGAAACCTGAAGTTGGCAACGATTACGATCTCAAGAAATGGTCATAAAGAATAGAAACAAATACCTGAATTATAATCGTTTTGCGGCTTCGATAAAACAGCTCTGCAAAATTTCTATGGATCAGTCCGTTGTTTACACGAAAGAGAATTCAACAGTGAAACCGTCTGTAGAAGTAATAGTTGTATTTATTAAGCCCCGTTTGGCCCCCAATTATTTGGGTTTATAACGTGGAATGGAATTTTTTTGAAAAATGAATGGCCATAAAAGAATAAAAAGTTTTTCATTTGTGTATAATATTATTTTATTAAAAATTGTATTATTAAAAATAGGAGAACAAAATTTAAATTAAATTGAAGAGTTTTAAAGGAAACCAAAACGGGGCGAAATTTATTTTATCTAATCTAACTAAATATATAAGAGTTGGTTTTTTTTACCGTTCATAAGCCACCTTCTAACTAAGTTGAGCCATATTGGAGTGAGCTGAAGCGGTTTCATCATTGCTAGGTTTATAGAGTTAGTGGGCTGACGCATATGTTGATGAGTTTTCCACTTTATCTCTCTAAAACTCATTCACTCACTCAATTTTTCTCTCTATATCTATATTTTGCATCACTCTCACGCTTTTCTCTCTCTGTTTCTCACACCCAGATTCTTTCTCTCTCTATATATATGACTACATATTCTTAAGGACCATGTTACACCATCGAATTTTTTTACATAATCTTTTACCTACTACTCACAATAAGAGGTGGAGGTCACGACTCGACATTATTTAATACACGCGGGGCCCACGTGTTATGTGAGAGGGGGGACACGGTTCGGTAGTCCCCCCCCTTTGTACATACATTTTTTTCCTATTCTTAAACTTGTCTTTCTTTATTTTCTAAGGGTATGGGACATTATAAATAATAGATCAGACTCATCTTTTTAAAGATACAATTAAATCAATTCTTTAACGATCTCTCATGGTAGGTGGTAATAAAGTAAATGCTAGCGAATCAAAGATAATTTTGCATATTCTTTTTTTTTTTTTTTTTTACTTGCTCAGAATTATTTTGGTTTTTTGGGCCATATTTAGGGATTTTTTTAATAATGTTTTAGTTGTAGAAATTTCTTTATTTTTTCTATAGTTTTCATCATCAATAATGGGTTTCAGTTTTTGTTTCTTTTTGCTTATTTTTTCTACCTCTTTATTTGACTAACTTTGTATTGAGTTAGCTGACTTTAATGAGCCAATTTTATGCTTGTCGTTTGGAATTTTTAGGTTCTTTCTTCATCTTTATCATTCACTTTCCTTTGTTGTGTATGCATGATTTTTCCATAATTTTCCTTTAATGAATCAAAAAATTATTTTAAAGTAAATTTAATTATATTCTAAGTTAGCCAAAATGATATTGTTGCCAATTTTGACAAATTAAAAATTTATTTAGTTTTAAATGTACTTATTTATTTATAATTAAAGTTTTTTAAGCCTAGCAAAACATCACCACCTTTCTGAAACAAGAAGTCGCTCATTCCGATCCAACAGATAGCAAATTGTAAGTTGTAACATACAAGTTTCACTATATAATTTGTAGAAAGGAAAATTACAATCTCTCTCTCTCTCTCTTTCTCTCTCTCTCTCTTCTCCCAAGTGATACAGAATGAAGAATTGATAGAAATTCTAAAAGATTTTCCAATTTTATGGTGCAATTAAACCCTATTAACATTTTTTCTCAATTACGCTAATGTTGGGATTGACACTTAACAATTCTCTTCCTAACAAATTTTATCGAGTTCCCATCTGTCAATTTTACAATCTTATCACCCAAAAATTCACTATTAACAAAACTTTCGTCAAAATCCACAGTCCCATATCTGTTTGAGGATCTGTTTAAAGTGTACAAGAAGTGGGTTGTGATTGATTCAGAGAAAAACACAAGGATGTTTCAAGAAATTGGTCAATATCCTTGCAACATTTTGAGGGTGAATTTCAGTATAGTGAGTTGAAGATGAATTATGTAAATGTTTTGGTCAAATGTTGGACTTGGATTCCTGATAATGTGGATTATTTGTACAATATGTGAGTCGAGTTGCTTGTGGACTAAATCTTCTTTTCTTGCTGATAAACGTGACGCCCTTCTTGTCACGTGTTTGGCCGTGCTTAAAAGTCGGTTCATAAAAAAGCTAAAAGAGCAACATTTAAGCATGGGCAAACATTGTGTTGGCTAATTAGCTCAATAACAATATGTTTGTTAATGTGGATTAAAATTGATGGTTTTAAGGAAGTTTATAAAATGTTAAAATTCTGCACATTATTTGTCGAGTACAGTCACATGTTGCATACAAAGCATGCACTTACTTCTTCTCTAAGAAATTTGGGTGTTGTACGTTCTGCAAATTTTGTATTTTTCTTACTGTTTAGCTATATTGCTAAAGCAATGTAAAATTAGTGTATAGTACTTGGTGTAATATTCCTTGTATATTGATTTCGTATGACGGAAACTACCCTAGCGTTATTGATGTTCCTTACCTAATCGAAAAATGGCTTATTTTACTTGTGGAATTTAGAATAGAATTTTCACCAAATTGGGAGCTCAATTATCGTCTGGATTCTATATTTTATTGTTTGCAATAGGGAAGATGGAATTTGACACTAATAAATTTTCAACAAAAGGTTATGTATGTGTTGGATATTGTCACTATCGCACATAATTTAGTATGTTATCTAAGTTTGGGTTCAAATGAAAATATGTATTTCAGTAATTGATTCTAAAATTATGCATGCATTTCTTTGTTTTGGGTTTAATAAATTTGGAGCACTTGCTGGAAATGTTGAAGGGATGATTAATCTTGCAGGTTATTCTTTTTCCATTTGTTACCGAGTATATTATGACATAATTGTGGATTCATGGAAATAGAAGATTGAATGCAATGCAGATACTCTTTGATACATGATCACTTGAATTTTTGTTGATGTGAATTTAAATTATTGGTTTTGGGTAAATACGTTTACATGTAATCTCAGGCCTCTGAGAGAAATACGAGGAATATGGTAACAATCCAAGATTTTCTCCTCCCACTAGATAAAAATCCAATCTATAAAAAGAATGGAAATACTTGTTTGGGCCACATTTTAAGGGAAATAATGCATTTTTAAACAGTGATTGATGGAGAATGTATGGTTAAAAATTAAAGAAAAAATTTGGATTAGTGTGTAATATTATTTTATTAAAAAATATGTGGTTGGAAATGAGCTTTGAAAAAATGAATTTTGAAAAGAATAAACTCAAACAAGGGCTTAAGCATCACATGAGAAAAAGAAATAAATGTATAATTTGAATCTATTAGTTTGTTTGTATCTCAATTTATCTTGCGCTTCTCATGATGATTTTGTTTAGAAGTTTCATTGAAGCCTCTTGTTTTTCATGAGAGTAAGGATAAAATCAATTCAACTGATCTTGTTGATGATGATTATAGGAATAGAAAGATTAATCTCAAGAGTGGATGGTGATTTTGGGGGTTAGGCATCTTAGCTGCATCCGACTTCTAAAATTAATTTTGGAAAATTATGGATTCTTGTAAATGGTGACTTTGTTGGAGTGAGGGTGTTATAATTTTATGTGCCAAAAGAATGCAGTCTTAGGTTCTTTTAATAAAATGACATTTTGTTTTCAAATTTGGTTCACCACTCTCTTCTTTATTAATATAAATGTTCTTTTGATGAGGTGAAGTTCTGTTTTCTAATTGATCAACTTGTTTCTGCAGTAATAATTGAATTTGTCAATATTTCTGATTGCTTTCTACTTTGTTTGATCATTCTGTATTACTTTGACTTTTTAATTATGCTAATTAGTTTTAATGGTGGAAATCAACATTTAGTTTTATAATTGCCCAGGTCCATAGTTAACAGCGAAATGCCATGTATTTTTATGAAAAAATATATACATTGTATCGCATTATATATACTTTGTAGCCTTGTTTATATTTAAGTAAATGAATTCTCTCTCTTATGCATAAAAGGAAAAAAGAACAAAAATATAATTCTAGACAGTTTCCTCTGTTTTAGTAAACGATAGTTATTTGCTTTCAAGTTGAATTGAAGTGGAGAAAGGGTCTTAAATAACAATGATGAACTAATTATTAGATATGAAACTTTTTTAAACTCAGAGCATCAATGTTATGGAAAACTTATTTGTGGTCAAGTACATAGGTTCTCATATTTCACTCCACTCATGTTTGAACTAAAAACCAAAAACACTTAAAATCATTCATTTGCGGTGGTTTTAGGTAAAGTTTGTAAGTAATTGTTCATACTACTACCAATACTCTTCTTAATGGTTGCATTTCGCAGCATGTATTAAGTATTCATAGGATTTCAAGAACATCATCTATGTTGCTTCAGCTGTTTAGATTTGGTTTTCAACGCTTTCTTGTGTGCACTTACTGATTATAGGGAGTAATATTGTGTCATGACGTGAATCCTATGCTTCCAATTGCAAAATATTATGTGTCTCTCCAACTATCTTTGTTTCATTATAACATCGGAGTTTCTTTCAGTAAGGGGGATTTGGTTCTGCAAATGAACGCACGAGCATAAATTTCATATGATCTTACCATTGATATTTTCCTTTTTGAGCTAACTTATGATTTCTTTGTATGCTGGAAGAAAATCGAAGTTGATGAATGTCATTCCAATAGTTAATTCCATTCAGGTTGAAGACGTCAAACACTTTTGCAAACTAGGCAATTCGACCCGAAGTTAACCAGAGAATACATTGACAATGGCATTGAAGTCACAATTGGTACAAAACTGAAGTATACTGATTATGATATGTTTATACAATCCAATGTAATTGCCACATGATTATATAATGTGATTTAACCGCAAGTATATGGTGTCAAGTTTTGTAATAAAGTAAAGAATTTAAAAGCGTCGAACCCATAGAGATTGATATTCAAATTCCACTGAGTATTATAATTGTTTCGATTTTCACATTATTTAGAAAATTCCAATTTTTAAATGATGTTTTTATGCTAACCTAATTTAAATGGAATAAAGAATGCAAGTAAAGTGAGACAATTTCTAAAAATCAAATCAAAATATGGATATCTAGGGCTTGATTTCACCATATTATCAACATGTTCTCAACTTCTATAGCCATTTTCATCGATTTTTTCCAATTTA